TATGGACTATGGTTGTGTTCTAGAAAGGATCTCACTATGACCGAATTGTGAGTGGTTATGCTAGCCCTGCAGCCCAACTGGATTCGTTTGCAGCAGGTCCATCTAATTTTCTTCCTATAGCACTCGTGTTTAATGAACTTGTACTCGCCCACGTGGACGACCAGGTGACCACGATTCGATAGCCCAAAACGCACTGAAAACACAACGCAGACTTTAGCACCTGAAGTTACAACTTGTAATTCAATACTATCTGGATTATCGCGAATCATATCCACTAAAAAGGTACAGAAGCAAGAAAACACATCAAAGATTCATTATATTTTTTTATTTTAAGTATTTGGTACGCATTAACTAATCATTAACGTCCACTTACAGTGATATCTCCATCAGATTATAAACAGAGTTTTATTTGTTTCAGTTGGCCTTATCGGCACCGGTATAGATTGCTTCGCCTCCTACTGCCTCAGCAAACAGGGAAAGATGGGTATCAACGTCGGAGGATACAGGTTCAGATTCAATGGATGCGCCAGAAACGGAAAGATTCGCTGGAGGTGCTCCCGTGGTCCTTGGTGCAAGGCCGCTCTCCACACTTTCAGGGGAAGAATCGTTTACATACAAAGTACACATAATTGTGGCCCGAAGCCTCCCTTGTAAAACAATTAACCTATCGACAACAGTTGTAGGAAAAAGAGCAATAAGATTTTAGTTTTCGCCTTTTATGTACAAAAAATTGTTAATTTGTAAATTTCTGTGAGAGTATCGCTTTTCTCTTTTCTTTCATGTTACCGGAGTAAATCAAACAAATGAAGTAGTAGCAATGGTAGAGATCATATGTAAGTGCGCGCAGACGTAATGTTCCTTAATAATCCCTATGACAACACTTAAATTAGTTCATAATATTTATGTTCAGCTTAATATATCTTAAGCTTAATATATCTCTGTATCTCGCCTGTCGACTCAAAGAGCGATGTGTACAATGACTGACACGTTTATATTATTTTTGAATATTTTCCAACCCATTGAATGTTGGTGGAATTCGATGCATTCTAGCTTATAAAAACAACAGAAATTTTAGCTCAACTGTGTATAATATAGTCAAAAACGATATTCTTAGTGGAAAAAAGCAATCTCTATTTGAGAAGCCTTATATTTTGCTTGCAAATTTGAAATACGTGCTTAATGTAAAGAAACTATAGAGGAAATTTTTCTTTTATTTTTGTGACATAACAAATTTTGCATGTAAAATAATTGCTTAATATCCCAAACCCTGACTGTATAATAGAAAAACGTAGTAAACATTCGAATTATATATTATCTATATATAGTATAAGTTTACTGTATAGTACAAAAAAAATCTTTAAATGTAAATACTAGATATATTTTTTAAACTACGAAAAATAATATTTGCAATAAATTATTTACCAGTTACCGTCCTGAGCAAAAGGAGTAAAACGTAAAAGTTTAAATTATTATTAAAAAAAAAACCTACCTCATATTTGATAATGAATTGAAATTTATAAAATTATCAAATGCTAGCGCTCTTGAAGCAGTGGTGTCGATGTTTTAAAAGATCTGCAATAATATTTTTTTTAGTCTCTCGCGCTTGTCTCCTAGAGTGCTGCTGTTGATTAATGAGATGTACCTATTTGTCTGTCACTGTCAATAACAGACGATACTTGTATTAAACAGCTTACCAATTTGCCGATTTGTAAACACAGCGTTAAACAAAATTTATTAAGATTGAATTAGTAATGCTGAAATAAGTATTATCCGTCGTAGAGAACAATAATATCTCCATTGCGGCAGTTAATGTAATATGTTTTTAAGAATATTAAGGCCTTAAAGTCATCACATCGTTTCATACATATACACGTTGACAACAATTGACATGGCCTATCTAATCCTGTCTCTTATGAATCTTTTATATACATACTATAACGTCTACATCTCCAAACACCGCTCGCATGTTTCCGCAACGGTGAAGTAGGTAATAAATAAGAGACCCGAGCCTCTGGTATTAAATACACTACTTAGCCCATTAACACGTTTACTGCGGCAAGTAAAATCATAATTCTTCATCTGGTGCGGCGGCGGGCCAAAATGCGCCTCCAATGATATTTCCTCCAGAGCGTGGCAGGTCTTTCTAGACCCACAAGCACTAGGATAGATTAAAAATTGCCATAAATTTGTGGAAACATAATGTATACATTTTTTATTATTGTTAGAATGACCTTGAAACCTACTTCCTTAGGTTTGATTCGCCCCGGGATCTGCTAAACAGGAAATGAGAAATAAAGCAGGAAAAGCGGCAGGCCGATATCGACCTGAACCGCACTAGAAAGTATTTTTAGTAGCGACTAGCTGACCCGGCAGACTTCGTACTGCCTCAATCGATAAATAAAAGACCTAAACTTTTGCATAAAATAAACTTAAAACAAACAAAAGGAATCCGTCCGACGGGGGACACATCAAAGGAAAAACAAAATTGTTTTTTTATTTATTTAATTCCGAGCATTTTCATATTTATCTACCTTTTAAACCTTCTCTGGACTTCCACAAATAATTCAAGACCAAAATTAGCTAAATCGGTCCAGCCGTTCTCGAGAGAGCTTGTTTAACGAACAGCAATTCATTTTTATATATAGAGATGGGACAGAAAAAAATAAGGGAATGTCGAAAAAAAACAAAATTATCATAAAATAACTGAAGAATGTTTTCATTTATGCCTTTCTTTGAAACATTTCACGCAAAGGTTTTGTTTACATTTCCTGCAATATTTTTTTATTTTCTTAACCTTTCTTTTTGCTTGGGTACTATTAAAGGTTTTCCGCAGTTTGTCGTAGCACCCTGCACAATTTCTTCGTTTATCGCTCATCTCAAGGACATGGTCATCGTCCTTAAGTTTTACTCGATTTTCTGAAATGATTTTTTTTTTCTTAATTCCATGTCATTAGTTAACCATTTATGAGTTTTACCACTGAACTCCCGAAACTGAACAACTTTCCCCAGAGAACATAGGTTGAAATATGAAACAAAAATTTGGCCCTCGCTTACAAAATTGACAACCAGATTACTGATTTAGTAGATAAAAATATTTTTAGGTAAATATATTTTTATCTACTAAATCAATCTGCACCAGCGGCGATCGGACTCTCACTCGAAAAAAACAAATTTCTCCTATCTTTTTTACCAAACTATCTAAATGTGGCATATTTTTGGAAAGGGCATTAATTTTTCCAGCTATTTTAATATAATAGAATCCGGAAAAAGCTATGTTATTGAGTAAGTAAACAGTGCCATAGCATACCATAATAGAAGCAGTAGTGCAAAAAACGCCCTACATTGCTCGCAGAAAAACAGCGGAGTCAGTACAAAGCTCTTGCACGAAAGCCATGCGCAGCCACCGGAACACTGGTAATATGTTCAAAATAATGACAATGGTTACCTGTTGCAGATGTAGAACGTCTGACGATGTTGAAACACGGAAATATAGGAATCGTCTACAACAATGATCTACATATCGACGCTTGAAAGGCAAATGTGACTAAGCGACAATAACTGCTTTGTACATAAATGATAGGTAATAACCATATTTGATGCGCAAAAAAAATACATTTCTAGGTCTATTAAAATCATTTCAATCCTACAGCTACTAGCTAGATTCTACTACAGCTAGATTCACGAAAATAAATTTTGTTTTCAGGTATTTCAACTTTAAATTAGTCTACTGTAAAGTTCACGTATTGTCGCTTAGTCACGTTTGCCTTTCAAGCGTCGATATGGTTACAGTGTTGTTACACGTCATTATACTTACTATCAGGGCATATACTTTGTCCAGTTAATGATTGCATTAATGCCTCTGTAAATTATTATTTTGAAACCTTATCATTTTTCATATTGTATGTGATCCACGCGTTTACCATGCCAAACAAATATTCCATACCCACTTTTCTGAACCATTTAAGCCCTCTTTTTAATGTAGAAGAATAGTATGAAGACATTTGGTCGCTGAAGTCAACTCCTTTTTTGTTGTTATTATACGTTAAGACACATGTAGGCTTTTTTATATTTTCGTTCGTCTTCTTATTTTTTTTTGCCAGTGTTGACAAGCACATCTTCGTCCTCTTTGACAGTAGATATCATTAGAAGTTGCCTTTTGTCAATCCATTTAATAATTTTGACGCCATTTTTATTCATAGCTCGTTTGATTTCGCCCTTCTTCAACTTTAGTGACACTATCTCCTTAGGAGCCCTCTTCGATTTGATCTCAGGGTGCCGCAATAACGGGTTTTGTGAGATAGGTCTTCCGCCAATTCAATTGCAGAGTAGAAATTGTCTGCAATTACTACACGACATTTGTTCTCCAGCCCTTGAATGAGTTTCAGTACGGTAACTTTACCATGATTTTGTTCACGGCCATTTTCTCCCTTCCCAGAATAAATTATTGAATTATATGTATACCCTTCTGGAGTGCATAACTTGTAAATTTTAACACTATACTTGTGTGATTTGTTTTTAATGTATTTTTTGAATTTTAACCTGCCACGCCATGGTATCATTGATTCATCTATAACAACAAATTTACCGGGCGTTAATACTTCTTGGAATCTGCTGTTGAGCATATTAGCCAAATCATGAATTTTCGTCAACTTATTTGAATTGTGGATGGCTGACGAATCATCACAAAAATGCCAGAATTTTAATAATAGCAGAAATCTATCCCGAGTCATTACAGATACAATATATTCGTTTCGATTTTCTTTTTTTGTTTGACCAATATTCATTTATATGAGGTAATTTGTTCAGACCCATTGCGAGCAGTACCCCCAGAAACTTTCGCATTTCTATATTATTCGTAGCTTTCCATGATAATAACCGAGATTTTGTTTTTATTTCGTTATTAATTTGCTTTTCTGTGACGTATTTTAGCACATATTTATTAGTTTCTGTAACCATTTTATCTATTAATCTTCTATGGGAATATTTAAAGTGCTTTCATTTTAAGTACACACTTCCAATTCAGGGGTCAAATCTGTGATAGCACCCCATTCATTGACACTATTATCCTGTGCATCTCCCTCTTCCTCTAAAACATCATTATCTATATCCGATACAACTTCACTTGCAGAGTATACATCACTCTCATCGTCGCCTGTGTCACCACTTTCCTCCTCAGTATTTTCCGTTTCCTCCCCTCTTTCTGTATCTTCATCTTCCTCTTCAGCATTTCTTGTTTCTTCCTCTCTCTCTTCTTCTACATCTTCTACCTCAACGTTTTCTGTTTCTTCCTCTCTCTCTCTGCTTCATCATTAAGTGTTTCTTTCTGTCTTTCATTTTCATCAAACTGTTTATTACGCTCTTCGTCATAAAAACCATCATGTTCATTTCTTTCAGTTAACTCTTGCGACATACTGTCTTCAAAAGAATAAGCGAATGTAAGTCTGGTCTTTGGATCTTTCCTTTCTATTTTATTTTTCTTTTCTATCATTTTATTATTGTTTCTTAGATTTATCAAGCCATGATATTCGCTTTCATCTATAGAAGCTGATAGATTTTTTAGCGAAGGACTGCATCCTCTTGAGCTATACATACTTAATCTGTCCACTGACGATGAGCGAGGTGAAGACAATCCTTTTGATGTCTGTGGTGTAGGTTTATTTTTAAATTCTGTAATGCAAAAAAAAAGGTAAGTAGAATAAAATTAATCTACACTAATATTATAAATGTGTAAGTTTAGATGTATGGATGTTTGCTACCCTTAAATAAAACAAATAAAACATGAAATATGGAAAGATGTTCACAGATGCTCGGCAGATACTATAACACTAAAAGCAAAGAAATAATTTAAGAATAATCATTTTCATAAAGGATGGTATTACACAAAAAACCCCACGTCATTATGAGTCTAAGGCTGATATGTTGATATATGTAGGTAGGAAACAAAACTTACCGCTTGTGCTTTGTTTTCCGTGCACATTTGTTTCCAACTTCTTTCTATTTTTCTTAGTGGAAAATATTTCTTCACTGCTGTCACTATCACTGTCAATAACTGCAGGCGAATTACTCTATTTTCCAAAATTTGTATTTTTCTTTTATTGCTTGCCATCGTTGATTATATCGAACGCTACGTCAGATCAGTTATATATCGGCCTGTTGGGCCGAAGTAGGCCCACTGCCGCACTTAGCGGATGTTTTTCACCGTCAGTGCGTTGGTAGGTCGATAAAAGCCTGCCGATATGTTTTGATGAGGATCACCTACAATTTTGACCGCAAGATGAAATGTATATATGTCTCTGTCGAATTTTGACAAACACCTGAGATAATAATTTCGCACAAGCGAGAGGGACAAAGTTTTCTTCGTCCGTACCAGAAATAACTGAAATACCGCGCCAGGATATCGACCTGTTAAGCAGTGAACATGTTAATTCGTTCATCTATAAAACACGTAGGCATTTATGGTGTCAAGAGTGTCAAACATGGATGCTGTTTATAGTCAGTCCAACAAACGTATTCCCGTTTCAGGAGTAAAATAAAATAAGAGCAAAACTTTAAACCCGGCGTTAAGTAAGTTTTGACAATAATATGAACAGAGGAATACGAGAGGATGATTAAGACTTCTTACTTAGAAAATTTTAGTAAGAGTTTTAAAACTACTGAAACTTATCTGTATATTTTAAGCTATTGTATAGCTGTTATCGCGGGCTTTGAGCGCGGCGACCGAATCAAGAAATTCCGTAACGAAAATAATACCTAACACCCCTACTAAGCCTACCATGTAGCTCGCGTTCAACACATTCACACGTTGCGCTTGTGTAGTGTTTGTGAATAAGCGTGCGGCGTGACGTCGCACTGCATGCGCATCATGAAAAGTCTGCCCATCTCTCTCTCACGCGGTCTAGCTTATAAGTGTGAAAGGGACAGTTAATGTTTTGCTTTTGTTAATGTTTATAAATATAGTGTGGTCTTAATTTATTATTGTTTTAATATTAAATTATTATTGTCTAATTATAATTGCATAAGTTGATATAAAATGCTATGCAATAGCTTTACCGCAGCAGTCCCCGAGTGCCACACGTAATTTTTTTTATTTATTAAAACACATTCTTCAAATTTCTGTATGTACCTGCGTTTTCACTTAACAAAAAAACCATTACGTAACAGCAACGAGCATTACATTAATATTGTTTCGACAAAGGCTTTTTTGGGCCTATTAATTATCGCTTAAAAAAATATATAATTCGTAAACCTTCACACAAAACAAATGATGCGACAGTAGTATTGAAAACCATTCAAAAAAAGTAAATAGGAAAGGATCACAATACAGGGTTTTTGTAAGCAATCGACATGACAAAGAAATTACTCATTTAATCAATTACCTTTTAGTAATAATTTGTATGATAGTGAATATAGTAAAGAGTTAGTGTAGAATTATATTAGTGCCAAACATTAGCAGTTGTGAATTCCATTATTTACTAACTACGGTTATCCTAAAATACGAATTTAATTGTACATGTGTGGATGTAAAAACGTTTCTCAAGAAAAGAAGGTATTTTATTGTATTTTACTAATGCGTTTTGATACGACACGCAATGTCACACTATTAAATGCAAATGGCGTGCGAAGTCATTGTTTCGTGAAACTTCGCTTTAGATTAATTGTTCGAGAAATAGGAACTTACTAAAATTGCAGCTGTTTTTAGTTAACATGTCGAATAAATACTGTTTTCCACTTATGCTAAGATACATTATTCTCAATTTGGAAACACCTTCCTTGTAATAACAGAGGTTTTGTCTTTATATACTTATGTGTTTAATCACGATGTATACTTCGATCGAAAACTGGGTTAAATATAAATTATAGATTATGTATACATATGTATTAAATATTTATATTTTTCAAAACGGAGTCGTAGTATCTATCTCTGATGCGTCTTTTTCAAAACTTAGAGATTTCGAGTTCGCTCATTCCTGCGGGAGCTTCATATTGGTATGCTCAATTTATAGCATGTGTTCTGTTTAGGGGCCATCCATAAAGTACGTCACACGAATTTTAGGACTTTTGAACCCCTCCCCCCCTCCTTGTCACAGGTTGTCACATTTTTATAACCCCCAACCTCCTAAAAATTTTTAATTCACGTACAAACTTTGCGTTTTAGTATTTTAAATTTTAACATGTGACGTCACAAAAGTATTGACCCCCCCATGCCCCTTGTCACACGATGTCACACTTCGGTGATACCCTCCCTCCCCATTAACGTGTGACGTACTTTATGGATGGCCCCTTATTATTTAACAGAGATTTTCGCAGATAAATAAGCAGCGATAGAGATAGAAACTATTATTTCTGTTAAGGCTTTTGTGACGTAATAATTGGTATATACATTATTGGGATTCAAAATTATTTATTGTTGAGCGATAATCAAAATATGATCTTGTAAGTTTTTAGTCTCAATTATTAGTGTGATTAGTGATTTCTTCCAATCAATAATGTACTGTAAGAACAGGGAATACTGAATGAACTTCCTATGATAAGAATTATTAGTATGAACATTAAAATTTTAAAACTTACTAATTTATAAACAGTTCCTGAGTTTTCTATTTTACTAATTTATTTTTATATTACACATATATAAATGTATAATAATATAAATAATTATTAGTGTGATTAGTGATTTCCTCCAATCAATAATGTACTGTAAGAACAGGGAATACTGAATGAACTTTCTATGATAAGAATTATTAGTATGAACATAAAAATTTTAAAACTTACTAGTTTATAAACAGTTCCTGAGTTTTCTATTTTACTAATTTATTTTTATATTACACATATATAAATGTATAATAATATAAATATGTCCTTGAACAAATATTTAATGAACGGTTAATGTAGTTCTCTCAATCATCTACCTCTAAGTAACATTAAAAAAAAAGTAATATAGTGGTTGTGTATTAAATGTATTATGATGTTTAGAATTAACAGTCGCCAAATTTGTATGTAGAGTTTTAATGTCTTGGACAACACGAATTTGAGATATCTTAAAAAAAAATGTACACTTAACCTAAAGAATGATTCGGCGCGGTGGAGAATGCGTTTTTTGTTTCTTAAATTGGCTTTAATTACCAAAAAATAAAATGAATCTATTGCAATTAGTATATTGTCAGGTATTTAAGAACATTTACGTTGAAAAACCTAAGTTAATGTTTTCAAAAATACTGTAAATAAATTACGGAGACTTTAAGATCCAATAAAACTGATTAATTTTTGTGTTTGATGATTTAATTGTGTCTTTATTTTATGCACATCTTAATTCTGCGTATTGGATACTTTGCACAACAGTGAATAAGAATGCGAGTGTAATATTACAAAAAAAAATAGGTAATTTTTTTAAGTTAACCTTTGACCGTTGCTTTTGTATGGCATATATTCTTATTGGTTTGGTATTCATTTTCCTATGCGTTTTAAATAAGCAGCATATATTTTATTTTGTTTTAATTTTTGGTAGTTAAAAATTGTGTATTATGACGTCATAATTTAAATTCGTTTATTTAATACAATCGACGCAGACTTGTCTGGAACACTGTAAGCATACAGGTCTTTTACATTCGATGCAAACATATCTGGTCTTACGGTCCTTCTTACTTCCGCACATAACGCATCGTTTGTATGTCCTTTTAGTGAAATCATCTTCTGTTTTTAATTTAATTTTAATAGTTCCTGTAAAATTAAATTATTTTACGGTATTCTTTCTGTTCGTGTATTACACGCAACGCTGGTAAACTTTTTGTAAAAATTACAGAAATAAAATTTCTTCTTTATAACCTTTAATAAGTTGTCGACGAAGGAGGATTATTTTTAAAGCCTTATCAGCATTCGGAAAGCATATTTGAATCGTTGCGCTGAAATTAAACTTTTGAATACACTCAAAGAAATTTATTTTCAGTTTTCAGAAATTATTTATACAATACGAGAAGTTGTTTACAATTATTATTTTTATTAATCCACATTTTCTTTGGTCTGTCCTGTATGAAATCGAATGTTACAATGTAAAATAAAACTAGTCATAGATGTTTAAATCGTGTTTCATTTATATTTTCCACCTTAAGTACTTTCGAACCGCATTAATCCTGATGCATATTAAATAATGCCTTAAAATATTTTTTGCCGACTAAAATTTGGAATGAGCCGTCCTCCATTGGTTTCCGAGTATCAAAAGAGTCCTCAGCATTGGTAAGCAATGATCATAACCTATGGAAAATCCTCAGGAGCAAATTATGCTGGTCATCTTTTCCGTGCGCGTGCAACTTGGTGCACGTGAATGAAGTGAAACTTCTTTTTCGATGTGTAGTAATGTGGTTTTCTTCATTTTTCATCCTTAAATCAGATTTCTCTTGTAATAGGGAATGCTGTGTATAACAGATGCGACATCTTCAACATTTATATTAAATATATTTTAAATTATAGATAGAAAAATAAATAGACATGTTTTTTTTAATACTTCATTAAAATATTGGACGCTATTCGTTGCTAACGCTCACGCTGGCCTGTAACAGATATACTACGCGCATACGTTCGAGTGCCACGCATTCACTCTCGCTCTGTCTCTTTCTAGTATGATAGCGTTAAACGTTTAACGCAACTGTGTTGGAAGTCGCATAAGAAGTTTCACTTCATTAGGTTTCTCTCATACATTTCTCAACGTTTCTCTCACAGCACGTGTGAAATGCACACAACGTTTGTTTTTTAATATAGCAAATTTTATATACAATATATATTTTATAACACAATAATTTAATTATAGTATATCTTAAAAATATAGGTCTGTGTATATGGAATTTAAAAAAAAAAATTGTTACACAGCTCTTCAAGACATATTTTAGTCGATTCTTAATTTTCATTTAGTTCCCGTCACAAACTAAGCAGTCTCAAGAATTCATAGAAAGAAAATTCATATCTTGAAATATTAAAACTACACATTCACTGAATGACTGAGATATTTAAGAATCGTATAGATTTTTGGCTATTTCTTTCGAAGACGTTCGTTTTATCTTATAGCGGAATAGGAAGTTAACTAACATGGATGACTCATTGAAAAAAAATACTGAATTCGGTACATTTGATTGGCTCATGAAGGTTCATGCTCCAATTGGATTAAGCGGAGAACCTTCAAATAACGAGAATGCTGCTGCCTTCAGCACTGGAACCAGGACAGTGGTACCCCAGAAGCAGAAGAACGGTAGAAGCCAACAAGACGCTCACACAATAAATTTAAATTTATGTCCGAATATTTAACGGTAGTTTATGAAGGTAGGTAATCACTCACCATCAGGTGGGCCGTATGCTCGTCTGCCTATAAGAGTAATGAATAAATAAAAAAGAATACCGATGCTAATCTGAATCATCATTAACGCTCTTCATACATTATCTATTTTTTATTTTTTTTTATTTTACTAACAATCACGCCACGTTAACTGGTCCCGTGATAAGTTCGTAAAGAACTTGTGTTACAGGTACCAGATAACGGAAATAAATGTAAGATTTCTATTATACACATACATATATTTAATATACATCCATAACCCTGGAAAAGACATTTATATTTATCATACAAATATCTTCCCTTGGCGGGATTCGAACCCGCGACCCCTAGTGTAGTGACCATGTCACTTACCACTACACCAGACGGACGTTAAAAATAATTGGTTTCAAACACAATCAAATCAAAACAATATCAAATCAAAACAATTGGTTTCCGAAACAACTTTCCTTTATTTATAGCTATAATAATTATAATACAATAACATTCTTCGTTTACCATATAAATACATAATATAGCTCACGTCAATAATATATATATATATTACATGGTACGTACATATAAAAAATTAATAATCGTAAACATATATTTTTAAAAACTACTAGTGCTCATGAAATCTGAAATTGACAGATACCCACATATTGGAAAAAAAAATACACACAATAGTCTTTTTAACTCAAAACGTTTTTATATGCGATTCCGGTGATTTTCTCATCTACTGCATTTTCAATAATATTAAAAAAAAAAAAATTATCTTGACATTGACATGACAATACTATTTAATTTGAGAAGCGACACGATTCGTTAACCTAGATGAAATCTGCTTGCCCAAATGTCCCGAATCCTACCCTCAATGGCTATAGAAAACAAGTAGCTACCCACAATTCAATAGAAATTGTACCTCGTTTGATCAGTCTTCGTCTTGTTCGCCTTCGGTAATGATCTGGTCCCCGGAGACGATGCCGTGCTCCGCCTTCAGATGTGCCAGCATCGAGGTCAGGTTGGATATCTCTTCGCTTCCATTCTCGCTTCGGAATTCACAGATCTTGCACGAATAACCCCCATCGTCGCAGCGATCGATCACTTTCCATATCCATTGCGTTTCCAGGATTTTTTCGGTTTCTAAAACAACAACAAAAAAAGACATGAAATTTTTTTTTTCATTTTTTAGATGGGTAGACGAGCTCACAGCCCACCTAGTGTTAAGTGGTTACTGGAGCCCATAGACATCTACAACGTAAATGCGCCACCCACCTTGAGATATATGGTCTTAGGATATAGTTATAGGAGTATAGTTACAACGGCTACCCCACCTTTCAAACCGAAACGCATTACTGCTTCACGGCAGAAATAGGCGGGGTGGTGGTACCTACCCGTGCGGACTCACAAGAGGTCCTACCACCAGTAATTACGCAAATTATAATTTTGCGGGTTTGATTTTTATTACACGATGTTATTCCTTCATCGTGGAAGTAAATCGTGAACACTTGTGAAGTACGTATTTCATTAGAATAATTGGTACCCGCCTGCGGGATTCGAATACCGTTGCAGCGCTCGATACGAATGTACCGGACGTCTTATCCTTCAGGCCACGACGACTTCATACTTTTAATATACCAGTGGAGTTGAATTTCGTTATGCCCTTTTTAATTTCTAAAATAATAGAATATATATTTTCAATTGGCAGTAGAGTTGAGAGAACTACGCATTTTTTTTATTGCCCTTGTATGCAGACGAGCATACGGCCGACCTGATGGTGAGTGGTTACCGTCGCCCATGGACTTCAGTAATGCCAGGGGCAGAGCCAAGCCGCCTTGAAGAAGGACATGTTATAACGCTCGGGAAACACCGTGGAGGGGAGCTCATTCCATAGCCGGATGGTTTTTTGAAGGTTGAGACAATTCAACGATCATCTGATGTTAAATTGTTACCAATACGTACTGACGCAACAACGCGAATACTATCTGTTTTATTCACACTATCTTTTTGTTCGTTTCATCGCAAAAATCGTGAACTGTATTTATTTTAAGTCCAATATTAGCTCACCACACTGGATACACACAAACGATATAAGACCGTATCGAACAATAATGTAATCTTACATTTAGTCCTTCTGGCAATGAGACCATAATAGTAATAACAATTAAATACAGTTCAATTGAATACAGTTCAATTAAATACAGTTCAATTGAATACAGTTCAATTAAATACAGTTCAGTTGTCCGTGACCACGAAACTGTTAAGTATTTAAAACATTCCAAATAATAGACGATCAATAAAAAACGAGATTTAACCCTAAAAGTAGTTTTAATTTTAATTGAATACTGTTTTTTTTTTAAGCCAACGTTCGAACGAGCTCACGGTCTGCTTAGTAGATACCGGAATCTATGGACATCAAAATATGCATTAAACATTCACGAAGAACAGATTTCTTTGTTCTGTGCCTTGGCGTTTTTAAACGTATATAAATATGTATTTCAGTCTATTTGTTGTCTTATGACTATTGCAGCGAAGTGTAGTGTGGGCCCCAACGACGATATGTGCTTTGTCTCATTAATTATTGAATAACATTAAATCTACAATTAACACGATCAAAAAACACGAACCGTAATATTCTGCAGTTTTATTGTGAATTCTTCGGAGATGCCTGTTCATATTTCCGCTAGCGTTGCCGGCGTGGCTGATATGGCGGCTGCAGAGCTTACACTGCGCCTGGCTTGACGTCACGCGGCTGAAGTAACACCATATCCAACTGCGACGCAATCCTTTACTTCGTGTTTCTGGGAGGTGAAACGTCAAAAGAAGCAAAATGGAACATAGAAATCATGAAACTTCACGTGTCGTGCGGATAAGAAGGAACGCGTAAGCACAGCTTAGTGGTGGTAGGGAGTCTTGTGAGTCCGCGCGGGTAGGTACCACCGTCCTGCCTATTTCTGCCGAGAAGCAATAATGCGATACAGTTCGAAGGCTGGGACGACCGTCGTACTGTAAAAACTGAGACACAGAACTCTTGTCTCAACATATTGATGTCTATTGGTTCTGACTACTAAATAACAGGTGGGCCACATTTTAAAAAAATATTTACATTTGAAAAAATGAAAAACAACTCGATAAGGGGCCATAAGAACATAGGTTTGGCCATAAAGAAGACAACTACAATGAAAATGGCAATAATAGCGTCATACAGAACCGGGTATCACTATTTACGTCGTGAAAACCACGGGTCCCAATGAACCCCTTATATTAGAGACTGTTTTACATAAATTGGAGGGTAAGTTAAAACATTAAATTACATAGCGGTTGTCCCTTTACAGTAGGCTGTACCAGCGGTAAATTATTTGCCTAGCTCAGTGTTAAAGACGCCGAGAAAATATAAGTGCAAATCTGTGGGTAGTTGCAAGTGACAAAATAAAATTAACTGTACAAGTAACCCTCCTGTAACACGGTAGATACGTTTTTATAAATACTCGTGTTGTGCGAAACCGTGTTGTATGAGACTAGAAGCCAATGCAAAAAGAGTATTTTTTACCTATTATTCATAAAAAATAAGCAATAAATCGGGTCATTTCCATATATTGTGTGTTCATGGTGCCTAATGTAATTTTCTAAATAATTTAAAAAAATCGTATTTTTTTTATTGCTTATATGGGTGGACGAGCTCAGAGCTCACCTGGTGTTAAGTGGTTACTGGAGCCCATAGACATCTACGGCGTAAATGCGCCACCCACCTTGAGATATAAGTTCGCGACGACTACTAATACCGTAATGTTATAGAAGTACCGTGTTTTAAGATGATTTTGGGGATATTTTCTTTGTTAGAGTGGAACCGTGTTGTAAAATACCGTGTTATAAGATGGTGATCTGTGAAACTGATACGTTATTTGAAATGAAACTCACCAGGCGGCTGGGTTTTTTTTTTATGGACCACGTTCAGGTGGCGGTTCAAGTTACCGGACGAGTAGCGACCGTGGTTGATCAGCCGACCGCAGAGTTTGCAGCGCGCGTGAGTCGGCGACACGATTTTGAAATAAGACCAGACCCAGCTGCGACGTAAGCGATTTCCCGAGGCCTTCGACTGATTTACATTGTACTTGAACTTCTTCTTTTCCATATTGTCAACCAAAGAAACTGCAATGAATTTATATTATTGTTAACTTAGATAATAGAAGATATAGATGCCTTATGAGTCATCCGGTTGGAACGAAGTTCCTTTTGCTATTGTTCATTTTTGTTTTTGTATTGAGTAATGAAATAAAAAAAATTAAGTCATTAAACGAATCATATTATACATCATAATGATAAACACAGCCTATCTCAGTCGAATGTTCAACATAGGTCTGTCCCAAGGCACGCCACTCGACTCGAATCTGGACCTCTCGTCTTCGTCCGTCTCCGTTCATTATATACATGCAAAATATTTTTGTCATATTCTCAAAATTGACGACAAGCTGAATCGATGGAAGAAACTTTCAGTTTTGTACGTGACCGGGAAATGCCTCAAAAATCACTACAAAAACATGTCAGTCTATTATTAGTGTCGTTTTTTAATGTTACACTTTTTTCAATCTACCTCCTCAATCCGCAAACAAAACGTGCAATGGGGAAGATCGTTCCTAAAAATACGTCAATTTTTTTCTTCTTTTTGTACTATTAATCCCAACGGCCTACACGTTGTTTACCGAAGACTATCGACCTCACAATACGAATGTGCCACACTTAGACAAGTCGTCCAATTTGATTTTTACAACACGATTTTATTCTTTCATTGTGGAGTTAGTTGAATACAATCGAAATTATTTTATTTAACAATATGATCGTACCTTCATTTAGACCATCGACTCTATGATCGTTAGCATTGATTCCTCTATTTTGTAAATGAGAGGCAGTGTCAGTATCAAGACGTAACTCCGAATCAGTGCTGGATTTTATCTTTGATAGTTCTCGTATGTAAACATGTGGATGCCGAGTCCTCACGTGCCTCTTCAAGTTGGTAGTGCTCGTTCCTTTAACCGACAAGACGACCTTGCAAATATTACAGCGATATTTAATGTTGCCAAGTTTTTCGAAATATTTCCATATCCAACTTCGCTTCCGCGGCTCTGGAATTGCAGGAGAGGAATTATAATTACGGTGACGAATCAACAAAATGATTGAGACGACACAAAAAAAAACTAAGTATGGACTTAGTTTTTTCTATGGAGATAATATCACAACTCGGATTTTTAAGTGGTAGGTAGGTCAACCTATTTTAATTTTTTTTTTTCAACTAATATATCGATCAACATACAAAACGATCTTTGAAGAAAATTTGTGAGTAATTCATAAAAAAAAACGGAGGAGATCTTACTTGATGTTTCATTTTTTTCCTTCTTCTTTTCCTCGCAAATGACGTGATCTTCAGTATTGACGTGCTGTATTTCCTTCGCTGTCTTGTTAACCTCGCAAACGTCTTCTATCACTATAGAATGTGTTTTAGGGTCTACGTCATCATTCGACATATTAACTTCTATAAATTCAATCCTGAACTCGATATTCGCTTCGGGGTTGTCTTTGTGCAAATTGTAAATGTCGTTATGTACGATCGTCATGTGATTTAGTAATTCCAGTGATTTTTCGTCTACCCTCAACACCTCTTCGCAGAGGCTACATTTCATGCCCTCATCATCGGCTAGCTTCGCGAAATAGACTGAAGTCCAGGCGGGTGCTTCTGTTTCTGTTCGGCAAATTTAGAAATTGTTAATGATCATTAATGATTGTGTTTATATATCAATTTACAAATATAACAATATCAATATGTATACGTACGAACTTAGATTACTATGGCTATATTCTTACAGTTTGCAGACATCGCGCGGCCACTCCAAGATCTTTCATGGTAATAACATATTCAATGATTCAGTATTGTTGCATTAGGATGATAAAAATGAAAACAACAAAGTTTAATAATGTCAAACATTTTCTGACCTTCAGGGCAATAACAATAGTTACAAAATAATTACACATTTCATAATTAACAAATGACATTTTAATGTTTAAATCTAACAGACTGGATGCTTTATTGTCAATTTAATTGCGAAAAATAAACCTAAAATAGAACACACATTATTAAATTACATATGGTGTAAGAGTGAAACATTTTTTTTAATAAACAATAACTTAAGTAGTTTCCAAAACACGAATAAAATAAAAACGAGATTATAATATTAAGTACTAAACAGCCATACAAATACAGCAACACTTTGCTTTGCGGGAAAGAGACAAAACATACCCTCACACACCCTAAAAGTTAAACTCATATCATTTAATAGCAGCTTCGATTTCTCAATATATACTCATGCATTTAAGGTGTATACTTTACGAAACCTTAAAAAGACGAGATATTCAATCGTCTTAAAAGACTCGACTGCTATTTTGAATTGTGTCATAGTGAAATCACACCCAAATATTTTTTATTAAAATGTATACAGGTATATGATAAAAGCCATACCATAATAGCATTAATGCTAACACATTCCCGACTTTATTATTTTCATAAGTTTATCGTTTTCTGAATTTTCCCTGTAAATTTAATAGAAGAGTTCTGTGAACAACGATTATTTATTAGAACACATATTTTACATAATTCTAAAATTCTCAATTTTTTTTTAATTATTATATTATATTATATTTAATAATATACGATGTATATTTAATATATTATATAAAAACGAGACTTAATAGCCTCGTTCTATTCTGAACTGCTTCGCTGCTGATACCAATCAAATTCTTTTGAAAGAATCGAAAAGTCATGACAATCCATATTGTGCCTGGGTAAGAAATAAATTGCCTAAATTTTCGAGAATTCGTTCTGATATTTCATACTCAGTGGAGCTGCACGAGTAATAAAATAATTGCGTTTATAATTATGCACTTCTTAAGGGTCGTAACAATAATGAACTGCAAGGTTTGTTATCGTCTGAAGAGACAACGTTGTTTGCTTACATTGAATATAAAAAATATCTATAACAGACACAGTCAGGTAACTGAAACAAAATTCAGATTTATCTTAAATTTATTGCTACACCTATAACAAAAAATTACATCAGTATTTATTAGTTTAACTACTGCACGTACCTAACTATACATATTTATTTACCAATAAAATATATATTATATACCTAAACCGACTATTTTAAATAAAATAAAACAAAGATATTTTTTTTATGATATCGTAAAATATACGTTTCAAACACAATTCTCAGAAGCCACTTTTAATCAAGCAAAATCAGCACAGTCATTGGACAATGCGAATTTTAATAATAATAAAAAAAATATACTCTTTTTTTATTGCTTAGATGGGTGGACGAGCTCACAGTACACCTGGTGTTAAGTGGTTACCGGAGCCCATAGACATCTACAACGTAAATGCGCCACCCACCTTGACATATAAGTTCTAAGGTCTCAAGTATAGTTACTACGGCTGCCCCACCCTTCAAACCGAAACGCATTACTGCTTCACGGCAGAAATGAGCAGGGCGGTGGTACCTACCCGCGCGGACTCACAAGAGGTCCTACCACCAGTGTAAGATGATCCACTTCTCGTTTGCTCAATCTTCGTCTTCGTCGCGTTCGCAGTCGGGACCGGTTATGATCTGGTCTCCGGAGACGACACCGTGCACCACCTTCAGGTGCGACAGTATAGACGTCACGTTCGTGATCTCGTCGCCACCCTTCTCGCATCTGAACTGGCAGATTTTACACGAATACGCGTCGTCTTCACACTCCTCAAACACTTTCCATATCCATTTCGTTTTGCCCTTTTCGATTTCTGTCAAAACAATACATACGTTTCGCATTTAATAAATAATAATGTTAATTTTAAATGTCAAGCGAAGCGGCGCCGGCGAGTACGGCTAGTATTATAATATATTACTAGACGATGACCGAGCTTGGGTCGGTTTTTTTTTTTAATTGTGTTTTTTAGAAATTATATTTAATTGATAAAATTACGAAATTTTCCAAGATCGTTTAGACATTTTTAAGTGAAAACTTGAGTTAAAAAGACATAAAGAATATAAATAAACAATTCATTTTCTTAGTCTAACCTTAAACCAAACACTCATTGGCTTCGGGTGGCTTAACAACGCCATCTGCTGAAATAGCTTTAGTGTTATTGTGTGTTTAAAGCAGTTAGTTACTCTCAATTATGAAAAATGGTATTATTATTCGCCAATAAATAGCGGCCGACTTTATAGATGTCGGCAACGATAAAGTTAAGATAAGATAAGATTTTTCATTTCGTTTCACATTCAAAAAATAAACATTGTGTTAACATAAGCACAATGTGTTTGCTTTCGCGCTGAAGCATTAACGCGATGAGGTTCGAAATATAAACCTTCATTATACAATCGAGGTTGTAGGGTGGTGGCGTTTACGCTATGATTTTTCTGGGTTAAGATAAACGTATTTTATGAACCTTTATTTACGTTAAATTAAACGTATATTTACGTAATTTATCTTTGACCCAAAACTATGCAGCCAAAGTTTACTTATATGGTCGTTTGTCTGTTGTGTGACTGTGTGTGCGAGTCAACGAAAGTGAACATCCTACCACCACACCGAATAGCGGGAGGCGTATCTTGAATTATACAGTTATCTTAGTATATCAACGATCGATAAATTCCCAAACTATTCGGCAACGATCCCGCACATGGCAACACATCGTTAACAGACATGTTTATAAAAATTAATGCATAATAATTCATTAGTATTCTTACATTACTTTTAAGTATTAAGATGACTTAATTTTAAAAAGATTAACGTAAAATAGCAACACCCAATAAAGTTAAATGTAATCAATCAGGCCTCCGCCACTTGATTCCTAAATTCTACCAATAACCAAACCAAAAATCAAAGCATCCCTGCCCACTGAACGCATATTCCCAGAGAGGGTTGCTCCGGGACCAAGCTAACGCCCACACAATTGGACACGATGACCCAACAGATGTTGTGGAAACTTCAACAACTCCACTGAACGCAACCTCATTATGCCACGTCACTTGTGGCTTCAATATACGATAAGTTGCACATCATGCGTTACGACTAGACATAATGGAATTGTTAGATTTTAGTTACGGCTTAATATATTAAGTCGTTATTTATGTATAAAAATATTTAGAATTAAAAAAATTAACGAAGGTTCCTTATGACTAATTTTTGGATTATTATTGTCCGTCATTTCGGATCCTCTCGATCCACTAACGGTACTTTTACATGCCTCAAGCACCGGTCATGGTTCTCGTCGAACCCGTTGCTTACGACGAAGGACTCGACGAGTAAATTAATCCACAGACATAGCCCACAGAGTTTCTCGCCGGATATTCTCAGTGGGTCGCGTTTCCGATCCAGTGGTAGATTCTGCGAAGCACGATTCTTGCCAGGGTTCGTGTTAGCAACGTCGTCAGGTTTGTGCCCCATGAGCTCACCTACTAGTTAAGATTACGCTGAAATAGCCTCTAAAGGCTACTTACTAGGTTAGGAGGGAAAAAAGGTTGCATACCTACACGAGACAATACTAACCAGAATACTCAGCTGTCTTGTTGTGAATCATTTTGAGATGTCTGTTCATATTTCCAGTAGCGTTGCCGCCGTGGCTGATCTGGCGGCTGCAGAGCTTGCACTGCGCCTGGGTTGACGTCACGCGGCTGAAGTAAGACCATATCCAACTGCGACGCAATTTTTGACTTGGAGATTCTGAGAAATTGAATAACACATTTTCCGCATAAGACCTTCATTGTGGCGCGGTTAGAAAATTCTAATAACCGTTAAAATAAAATAAAACATAATCTGTATTAGAGCTGTGATGGGATTGTACGTATTGCTATAGCACATAAATGTCGCAATGGTCCATAAATCGGTAAATTTTGTCATAGGAGGGGTTTTTATTGTTATATATGGGGCAAATACCCGTACGAGTATGATGGGAATACTGATGTTATCACACAATGCTGCTGCCCATTTTCAGGTAAATCCCTTAGGCGCGTTTTAAGATACGGACCAAGTGATGGGGTAGCATTAAGTCTATTCAGGATTATCATACTTACAATAGCCTTTAAGGCAATTGAAATTTTCAAATAGTTGCATCATATTCGATAATGATTGGATGTCAATTTTAAGAGTTTTGAGCAAAAACTAACTTACCAGCCACATCGTCAAGATCAACGTCTTTATGATCACTCGCATATATTTCTTCAGTCTTTATGGCATACGGCGTGTCAATATCAGAGCTTATGTCCGCATTATCACATGTCACTCTTTTGGATACCTCTTTTCTGTATATTTGTGGATGCCGAGTTCTCACGTGTCTATTCATGTTGTTAGTATTGCATCCTTTTATTGAGAGAACGACGTTGCATAGATTACAACGGAATATAATGTTGCTAAGTTTGTCGAAGTACTTCCACACCCAGCTTCGTTTACGTGCCTCTGTAGTTGCAAAAATGAAATGTTAATTATGGTGAGATTATAAAGAGATTTGGATTTATTTTTTCTTATCGCTAAGATTATAATTCATTCATTCCATCCATATTCTATTGAATATTCATCTTAAGGTTGTAGTTACAATTGGTTTTTACGGAAATAGACAGAATGGTAACACTCAGCTGCTAAGGTTTGCATACCAACAGCTAGTGAAAAACCACTTAGGATTAGTTTTGAATGATAATGTGACTTAGT